TTTGTCCTCCCGAATTGCTAAATATCTCACGAACACATGTATAAAGCCGAAGTGCTTAGCTCCGTAATCGCCACTCATAGGCGATACGTCGTATTTTTCTTTTGCTTTCGTTTTCGAAGTAGCTATAGAGACGTCGAACAGTTCTTCATCAACGCTGGCCTTAAATTGCCCACAAGAAGAAATTGTGAGCCGTTGCTGAACAAATTTAGCGAGTGATCCCCAATAACAGCTCATGGTGTCCTTATCACACGTGCCAGACGATGTCGCGCAAAACGAGTGTGATAATCGTTGTTAGAGACTAAAAGAATCCTTAAGGCAGAATTTTTAGCCCGTTCTGAAATTCTTACCTGCTTTCAAAAAGTTGGACAACCGTCTATCTTCTATTTATCTGTCATCGAAGCCGGGCCAGGAGATGGCATCAATTTTAGAAATACCTCACTTGTAATGAATAGTTGCGCAAGTTGAATTTCAATCTATTATATTTACGATAGAATACACCGTCAAGTACAGAAGAAAGCGATTTTCTTATAATTTCAACTTTCCTAGCCTTATTTCAGGCATGTGGCGGAATCACGCATTTGTTTTCTGCCACAAACACAATCGTACTTTCTTTTTCTTGCTTACGTTCGTTTGACTTCCTTGAACGAGTGTCTGAACTTCCCCACAGTAAGTGCGCCCCAGTTGCAATTACTGACAAATACCCAGCAATGCTGGTGCTTCGATTCAACCTATCGTTCACGGATTGCCTTCTCCGCTCCGAAAAAGTGCGTCTGTCTGCGAAAAAGTCAATAAATCTTGCAACAAAACATTGATTGCTTTGAAGGCCCGAGCTCAACTGGTCCCTATGGTCCCAAAACGACCGCAAATGCCTCTACAGCCAATCACGCGCTCTCCACGCCTGGCAAGTAGGCGTGACTTCCAAAGGTGAGTTTATTACGTTCAGTGTCTCATCATGTGTTCTTGACTAGGGCTACTATCTTCACCCCATCGGTAAAGTGAGTACCCTGCTGGGACCATGGTAAAAGTCCCTGGAGCATGCGCCATGAGCGCCATGGCAGTCGTGGGCAAACGATGCAATCGTTCGCAATTTCGTTATACTGGCACATATAAGCAACCGTCGATGAATTAGGAATTCTAAAAATTTTTAATCATAAAAATTATCATCTAAAAAAGCGAAATAGCAAACATCCCAATGAACCCCCATCCCGCGACCACATGCATACGAGTGCGGCCTGTCCTCGAATGCGTCATTGCTACCCATTTATTAGGTCGGTCCATAATTTTTGAGAACCTTTGGTGTTTTTCGACTTAATTACTTATCTTATTTCTCTGATGTATTTATTCAGCATAGTATACATCACCATTATTACCAACATATCAACCAATGCGAGGGTGGGTATTCAGTGTCTCTCTTGTAGAATTTCATAGAGTTCTGATCGAAGAAATATTGGATGTCGATTTTGACTTTATGGTGATTCAAGTGAGATTTCTTCTCCAGAAGGTGATTGAGAGAGGAGAGCGGATAGTCGTTCGTTGGCACAAGGTTAGTGCTACAAGGCGGAGCTAAAAGAACTGACCGCCCGAGAGTCTCCAATTTTTTATGAATTTTCTTAGCAAGGTGGACTCGAACGACCTCAGAAAAAATGATTTTGTCTTACTTTGCTTTCAAGTTGAAGGCGTTGCCATCAAGCTGTCGACGATTATCTTCATCACTGACAGTGGTATTTTGGGTGCCGTTTCCCAGCGCAACAACGTTCGGTATTGCATTTGGTGCCGGTTCCCAGCGCAAAGTCCCTCTCGTATTGCGCCAACGACTCAAGAAGTTCGAATTCAGAGGGAGTTGGGTTTTTGCTGTCAGAACTCCCGAATCGTTTGAAGCTAAGCTACTGCGGCTTGTGGATTTGTTAGCACACTGCACCCAGTCCACATCACCATGAGTATTATAGATGGTCATTCGAAGGAACTATGGGAAACCAAGAGGAACATGATGATGTCAGGTCGGGCTCAGAGCATGGAGATAAACTACACATATTCAAACCTTAACGATTTTATCGAAATGTCTCAGTACACTCACCGTGTAACACCAAAAGCGCTCTAACAAACAGTGCTCACTTTGTTCAGATTCCTTTTCAATGGCGCCGGATAGGGCATCGAGATTGTCGGTGGTTGGAGTGTGGAACATCTCCGAATAAAAGGGAGGACCTGAGTAGAGGTAACCACCAGAGCACCGTGGATTGAGGGAGCGTGCCCTCAGCTATCCTCTGGGTAATCCTCCTTATAGCCCTGCTCGTGGAAGATTCTAATCTGAAGTCATGAAGAAAGAGGCTCAGAAGTAGGTCTCAAAGAAATTGGAAGTCTAGCTAAAGAAAGTAACATGCAAACGAGGTGGCTAGCCTGTCGGATAGGCGAGCTTGTGTGCTAGGTTGCTGGACATCTTGGAAAGCTTCAATACTTAAAAATTTTACACCAAGACATGTCTATTTCTCAATCATTATGGACCGACCTAATAGGTGCCACCTTAGCGGCCTCATGGTCAGTGCACCATCGCGGAGGAGGGCTTCCATAATTTCGTCATGAAAGTCGTTCAGCAGATTTGGGGGCAGATTTCCTTGCTAACGTCGATCACCATGACAAAAAGCAAATAGCTCCTGTAATTTGATGTACAACCAATCCTTTCGTCGAATGAAAATCTGTGCGGAAGCACTTTTTTCGCTCTGGACTTGAAACAGGGTCAGTCCTATCGTTGTTACTTTTTGAAAAATTTTTACGACCCCCCTCCCCCAAGGTGGACTTTGGTACGACCCCCTTTTCGACCCTCGACCACCATATTCCTCTCTATAGTATTTAATTCTGGTACCACTCAACCCACCAAACTCCGCCCACTTTTTCCTCCAAAAATGCCGTCGAGCGGGAGGAGGTCCTTTTCTAAGATAAGTATATACGCGCGCTGAAACGGCGAATTTTTCTCCCATGCGCTCCCAACTCACCTAGCCTACTACTCGTGAAAACTCCACTTTCACCACAAACTCACATGTACTTTCACGCGACTGAAGCGGATACGACCCCCCTCCTATATAACTCAACCAGGTACGACCCCCCGTTGTTACTAGTAACAACGTAGGATTGACCCTGACTTGAAAATACTAATGACAGACCTACTCTTTAGACGAAAAAATGAGGATTCGGTCACTCTCGGAGGCTATTGGACCAGTTTTGTTGCGAAAGAACACTCTGATCCTCCTTCAGGATCAAAGAGTCTCCCAAGCAAAAATGATTCAATGGCTCTTGAAAGGGTTCGATTCTTTTAGAAATTCGGTTTTCAAGTGGATTTCCGCGAGCGCTCTCTTTGATCGTAAGATAAGAGTTCACATAAACTTTGCTCAAGCCTTGAGAGAAAACTCAAAGAAAGTAAGATAAGTTCCGCTTCTTAGTTTGTCTTCACGAATAGTTTGTTATGAGCTTCATAACTCTATCGAAAAGGGCTTGTATTCGATAAGATTTCAATGACTGGTGGCTTTTGCTAGACGTTCCTCAACCTGTCAGAGAACACCGCCAGCAGAGCCCGTTGGGCCCACAACGGGAAGACTGATGTGATACGAAATTGAAGGGAAGGGTGATTAGCAAATGAAATATTGCAACATGTTCGTGGAATCCCGATGTGAAACCCTCGATCCGGAATGTACCCCCGTTCAAGTTTCGGTTTTTCGCGTGCGTCCCGACCCGCCTCGGCGCATTGTCCGTCGGCCGGTGAAAAAACTGCACGATTCGATTCAGCGACGGTTCCGATATAAAAGAACCGTCCCCCTCACCTGATAAAGCATTCATTATCCGCATGAAATGTCCACACATCATTGGTTTCCTTTAACTCTCTCAGATCGGAAAAATCGACTTCTCGCTAGCGATCATTGCGACCTTTTTCAGGAGTGTTACTGTGTCGCTTATCCACTCGTCCAACCCGCTACTTTCAGATGTCGCTAATTGGCGCCACTTCGGGCGCTTTGCTCTTCTCGGGTGCTACACTAGTTGTTTCACTTTTTACTGCCGCTGCTATCTATGGTCAAGTCAATTCTATTTGGAGCGAACTCGACGCCGAGATGAGCAGTTTTAAAGTACAAACTTATTAAATAGTTTTATCTTTGCTATCGATTTTCCTGAAATTTCTTTTTATTCCAGTTTTTAAGCTTTGTAAATGAATGAAAATGCGTATCTTCCCTGCCCTATAATTTTCTACTATCTGTCCGTTTCGATTCCCACATCATTGAAGGAATTTTCGTTAAGATACTCACTGACGATCTCTGGAAAGACATGGTCGGTCTCGGAGCAGGTACCCCATCAAATCGCATACGGCGGCAGTCTTACGGTGGTTACGGAGCCAGCGGTCAGGCGAATCCTGCTCCCAGCTCCTATGGCGGCTATGGCTCTTCAGAATCGGGTTCAGGTGGACCAGCGAAAAACCCTTCAGCGGGCTACGGAAACCCCACACCGCCAAATTCAAGGTGCTTGTGTGCCCTCGAAAACAGCTGCCCACCCGGTCCTGCTGGATCGCCTGGACTCCCCGGTCCAGACGGCTACGACGGCCTTGACGGAATACCTGCACATGATGGCCTCGATGCAGAAAATGTGACGAATGAGCCGTCACAAGGCTGTTTCACTTGCCCACAAGGACTACCTGGACCACAAGGACTGCAAGGACCTCCAGGAATTCGCGGAATGCGTGGAGCTAGAGGACAACCTGGAGCACCTGGAAGGGATGGCGGTCCAGGGATGCCTGGTTCGTTCTCCTCTGCTATCTCCTTTTACTAAACTGAATGGTCCTAACTAACGGTAGTTTACGATTTTGTACACAGAGAAGAGTAAATAATCTTTCAGGAGAAATGGGACCTCCAGGACCACCCGGCCCTGACGGAACTCCAGGAAAGCCAGGAGATAAGGGAGATGACGCTGAGAAACCTGTTGGAAGGGCTGGACCACGTGGACCTCCTGGAGAACAGGGCCCAGAAGGTCCTGAAGGATCGCCGGGTAGAGATGCCTATCCCGGTCAACAGGGCCCACCCGGAGAACAAGGAAGTCCAGGATACCAGGTAATCCATGGTTTCAGCTAGGACTACGGTTTTTCAAGTGTCTCAGGTGAATGTTGAGATATAAAGACTAATTTGGGAATTTTAGGGAGCTGCCGGCGCAGATGGAGGAGAAGGACCACCAGGACCTCCAGGCAATCTCGGAAAGAGCGGAGTAGCTGCAAAGTGTTCCCGACCGTGATTCCGACCACACTTCTGCAGTGCACAATCCCCGTGCTAATGGGTACAGAAGAAGGAAGCACCGCAAGCATTAAACTTCTGAATAAAGTACTTCAAAACCATCATCGCTCTGAGCGTCGCTACCAAACTAGGTGCGATTAAAGTTTTTTGTGGTCATCGCTCACGAAAGAGGCAGTGAAACAGAGCTGATTGCCCCAGCAACCTCACTTAATGGCGCATCCCGCGATCAATTGAAGACATTACGCACAAAAGCCTGATCTCATCTTCTACATAGATCGATGGCTTCAGCTCTTTTTTCCCAATACCAAAAAATGTATCGGTCGTCACGGTGAAATATCGAAAAAAATGCAAAACCCAACAAAAAAGGCCCTGTAAAGGCCCATGTCGTTAAGGGGACATCCCTGTTGGTAAGCCTTTGCAGACTTGGTAATGAGTCTAGGGCGGAGAGGTTTTTTGGAAGGATGCGAACAAGTTTTAGTCCACCCTGACGTTTTCCGCTCTCCTCGGCTTGGCCCAGTGTCGCCTATCAGCAGTTTCAAAATGCCTTGCTTCGAGAGTTCCTTCCCCAAAGCCATGAACCCCCTAAAAGTCACTTACTTCGCGAAAGCTCGCCGCAGACTACTCCCATATATTTGACCGGCTGAGGGCCTTACACTATTAAATAACCAGATTAGTCCCCCGTCAACCGCCGGGACCTTCCTTTCCTGCGCAAGCTTTCTATCCTCCGCTATGGTCCCTTCCTCCTGTGACACCAACACCTGGAAGTGACGCGTATGCAACACAATGGTGTTTCATACAGTAGAAGGGACACAATCATGATATGACGGTAGATTTTTCGCTTCCCTTCCTCATCCTCCCTTCCTCTCTCCACTGCCCTCCAGCTGCCACTGCAGCACCATGTGGAATGAACGGAAGTGTGCTAAGCAGGTGTTTATATAGCCCTAAGAGTGTTATCACAACTATCCTGCTACAAAACATTGATATCTCAAATCCTGTAAGCTACCCGATTTGTTAGCGGTTTGTTTATCCCATGAGCTTCCTTCTCACTCACTTCATTTTGCGGACGGACACACATACATACATACACACACACACACATACAGATACACAAACCGACACACAAAGTTAGCGCTTTATAAAATAGAAGGATAAAGATACATCGGATTTGGCATTTCTACAACAAGAGACAGTAGCAAGTTTTTTGGTTTCACTGCTTAGTCTATATCAGCAGAAACAGCCTCGATTTGGGCAGGAGTATCTTTTTTCTTCTCCTTTAAAAACTTTTTTAAAAGTTTTTGCAGCGTTTTTTGATTACAATACCAACTCTGAGAAGAAAGACAGTTCCTGCACTCGTGAAACAGTGAGCATCTGTGTCTCCTCCTTCAAAGGCACACTGCGGGATTGGACACGCGCACCTAGGGAATATCGGTCGAGCATTCCTCGACGGGCTTGTTGTGAAGATTATTTCGCCTGATCAGTTACGCTCTTCCGCGCCGACATTCACACTCGCCATACGCGAGCCGTCTGTGCTCTCTGCGCGTGCGTTCACTCTCGGCACCACTCTCGCCAGTACGGAGCCATGGTCGAGGACCAATTCCCCGACCGTTATTCACTCTGCGCTCACCTGTCCCATACCCGCACGTAATAGGCAGGCAAACTAGCGTTGATGTCGCACTCTTCGAGAGCTTGATAGTGCGCGAAAAAGGCGCTGGGAGCTCACTTTACCCCCCGCGATCCCTCCTTCGTCAAGCCTCACCTTCCGCTGTCGCGTGAAACTCATCCAACACTCTCCTTCTCTATCTCAAGGTAGAATGGTGTCGCAATAGAGGATGTCCTTTTTCGGGGTGTAGTGGATGGTTTCTCTTGCTTGCTTTCTCTTTCCAAATCACTCCCCACCTGTAGCTTCAATATTACGCCTATTTAAAGGCAAGATTCGGGATAAAATAGGTGTGGAAAAGGGTTCATTATGAAGTTAGAGGTGGGAGGTGGTCTGAAAAAGCGAGGGAAAGCAAACGAAACCACCGATTACGCTCCGCACAGAGACCTCCCCTATTTCAGCCGCATTCCACCTTGGATAGAGAAGAGGCGAATTGGACGAGTTTCACGAACCTAACTCTAGTTGCTCCAGTGCCAATAACATTGGATCGCGCTGGGACCGCTGCCTCAAATGCGCCCGCGCTTTTCAAGCAGCGCCACGTGGCAACCGACAGCGGAGGGTGGGGCTTGCGGACGAAGGTGTGAGTTGCGGGGGACGGACTCCTTGCGCCTTTGTCGCGCACTTTCAAGCGGCAAAAGGGGCGCGACATCAACGCTTGTCCGCCTG